GACATCACTTGGTGCTGTGAATTCAGGGCCAAATTAGTTAAAATGCAGGCAGACACTTTCTTTTGTGCAACTTGTAACTTTACATCATTGCCTTGAAAAATGTTACCGTAACAGTTTGCCTACCGGAGAAAAATATATTAAGACCCGCGCTCAATCGATAAGTTTTAAAGGTCATGGTTTTCAGACAAATCAGATTATTTCAATCTATAGGCTTCTTTTGTAAGCTTTTTAACACTATGGTATTTCAAAACAGCAGGAACACATGCACCCTACTTACTACTTTCCACCTCTCTTTGTACTGGCTCATGTGTTGCAGTGCTACTGCATGCCAACATCACAGGCTCAAAGGAGCCAAGACTGTCAAGGAAAAGTTCAGTGGTAAAAATCTGGGACTTATGAGACAAGGCACTTGCTGGAATTATAGCATTTAGCGCATCATTATCATTCAGAGCATTTAGTTAGTGCATTATTATTTTAGTAATTTATTAAATTTGCAAAATCAAATATCAAACTGATTGTAGTGTCTGCCGCCCAACGTGTAGCTGATTAGATGGTGTAACTGCAGCAAAAGCCTGTATTTTTATGGCAAGGGTGCCATCGTGTGGGATGCTCCTGCAGAACACAAGTGTAGCCGTGCCTGCTTGCAGCACACTTGCAAAAAACCTCTCTTCCACATGTTATTTTTCATGGATTTTCAAGTATTTTCTCTGTATGAAGTTAATATAGTTAGATATCCCTGTTCTTATAATTTCTCTTGATATGTATTTTATCTTTCAGCAGCGGTTTTACAAGGTTTTATCATAAGCTTTCCATTTCTCAAGCTTTTCTGTGTAATGATACCATTACTGTCCCTGGTTTTTGCTTCTGTTTTATGTTTTCCTTTAAATAATTGGGTTTATATGTTACATCCATAAAGAAAATTGCCAATAATTACCAGGAGTACAATTAGGAATAAATCTCTGTTAAGGAACAAGCTAAAGTTTAGTGTCTTTATGCAAATGCCTATTGTTGAAAGGATGTCTCGTGTAATCAGGAATTATACTGACAAGTAAAGAATCATTTAATTAATGAGAATAGAGCAATCATTTGGATGGTTCTTTCTATTACTGACTGAATAAGAGAGATAATAGCCCTGCTCAGGAATTAGAGCTGCTGCTGGAAGAAATAAGCCCCACAATGTTGTTCTGTTACTGTCTTGTGTAGATAGTATGGTAATTCCTAAATATAAGAAGATACATGCCAAAGATTTGAGATTGGACATCAAAAACTCATCTTCTATTCCTCTACAATAACTTATTTTATGATGGTTATCTGCAGTCCTGGCTAACCTGACAGACTGGAATATTTGGGCCAAAATATTAATGTAAGTCCTAACACAGGATGCTAGGGCAGCGAGAACTGGCGTTATGGTGAGTTATGTCTGCAAGCTCTGGGTGCTGTAATACAGAACGTAATAGGACCACGTTTGGTGGCAGAGGAGTAATTCTGGTGGGAAAGGATGGACATCTGGAGGCCTCTTGCCCAGCCCTCTGCTCGAAGCAGGTCTAGTGAGGTCAGGCTGCTCTGGTCCTTGCCCAGTGGGCTTTTGAATATCACCAAGGATGGAGATGCCACACTTCTCTGTTTCAGTGTTTGACCTTCCACACTATAAAAACATTTCTCCTTTTGTCTACTTGGAATGGCGCGTGCTCCGGGTTGTCATGGTTGCACCTCCTTCTGTCAGCACACCTCTGAGTCTAGTTCCAGCTTCTCTACAGGGCCCCAGTAGGCAGCTGTAGCAAGCAGTGAGAGCAACCCCACGTGTGGTCCCCGTGCCCCAAAGCTCCTCTTAACACAGATGTCTCATAACGGCTATTGTGTCCCTTGCAACAGAACGGAGAGTCCTCCTGTCCTTGACTTATCTCTTCTCCCTCAGGAAGCTTCAGGATGGGGTTTCCCTAAGCTGGCATTGGGTTTGGGGCATTTTGAAATATAACCCATTATTTTGCATGCTGTGTCAAGTAATTGTTTGTGTTCCAACACTGAAATGAAAAATGAATTTGTTACATGAAGGAAAACATTCACCGTTTTATTCTTTTTCAAGTGTAATTGTTGAATTTTTTATTTTGGGTAACCAGATGCACCCAGCTGCTACCCTAGTCACTTCTGGATGTTTAAAAATAAACCACTCTCCTCAGGAATAAATGAGCTAAATATGAAAATCTTCTACAAAATTCTAAATCCTCCAATTAATCATCCCATGGGAGGTTTAGCTAAATATGTTGGCCTTGCAAACTCCCTGGTAAATCTTTGGTGGTAGGCTGGGTACATAGCTGCAAGGACAAGTGAATTCTGCAGCAAAGAACCTTCCTATAGAAACCGCTTACAACCAGGTCGCACACGCCCGGTGAGCAAGATTAGTTTAGGACTTTACTGACTGCAACTAACACAGGTCTGCTTTCTTTACAACGAAGCAAGCAGGTGTGTGTATATATATATATTGCAGAATATATATTGTTAAATACCTAGTGCACTACAAAAGTCAATTGACGTAGTCTGTAGTGAAAGCCAGTTAAGAAAATATTTTATATTAAATAAAGCATTTCCACTGAGGGTCTTAAAAGAAGGAAAGAGAGACTTGTATGTGTTTTTCTGGCCACCTTTTCTGGCTAAATCATTGCGTCTGGATTCATCAGCTGCTTGGCTTTCTGAGACATGTGGGAAGGTTGCAAGTAGTTGGGATGACATCCTCACGCTCTCAGGTGCCGCCTCTACTGCTTCTCTGTAACCCTTGACCCTGTGCTTTCTCCTCAAGGATTTTGGAGCTGCAGCAGAACGGTGACATGGACATACTGAAGCATAAATGGTGGCCGAAGAATGGTCAATGTGATCTTTACTCATCTGTGGATACCAAACAGAAAGGAGGTGCCCTGGACATAAAAAGTTTTGCAGGTGTTTTCTGCATCCTCGCTGCTGGGATTGTCCTCTCCTGTTTCATTGCAATGTTGGAAACGTGGTGGAATAAAAGGAAAGGCTCCCGGGTTCCATCCAAAGAGGTATTAGACCCTCCATTTCTCCTGGGGAATTTCCATGCACCCTAAAGATTGCTGCCTTGGCTTTATGGCATTAGAGAGGGTGGGGAATCAAATTCAGAAAAATTTCCTTAGCTTCCTGATTTTTTTAAAGTAAATGTTGTTCTTCAAAATCTCTTTAGCTATTCTTTCTAGAAAAGCTTGAATTTAAAAAAAAAGTATATTGATGATGTACAAATATGCAACTATTCTGAGTAAAACACAACTGTTACTTGTAGAATTGTACGTTATTAATGCATCGACATTAGGTTCATTATTCCCATTGGTGAGAGCTAATTCTCGTCAGTAAGTTCAAAGGTTTCTTGGCTTTTTCTAGGAAAAAATACATCCCCTAAGCTCAGTGGCTGAAGTCTTTCAAAATAGATTTGCAAAGTTTCTCCCTAATCAGCAGTTAGCTTCTTAAAGAAGCTTGTCCCCATTTTCAGAAATGTTAACCTCTTGAGACTTCCATGGACTTCAGCTCCCCTTATTTAACCTGAAGTCCAGGGAAGCAGGAGTACATTAGATTTTTCAGATTCAGGACAGACTTCTTTCTGAAATCTACTACAGACTCATTTCAGAAAATCTTGAATGGAGAACATGGGGATGTGAGTTTGCTTCTACACCTGCATGTGTAATGCTTTCCTTCCTGTGGCAATCTCCCTGTCCCTTTACCAGCCATCTGAGCCTTATGCGGTCTTACAACAAATTTCTTACCTTCACTATTAAGTCTTTAGCTTCACAAAATACTAGAAAAACATTAGGGAAAACAAAAAAAATTATTAAAGTGTACTTGGTAGCGATGCCCAAAGCTGAACCTAAATATGAGCTTTAATGTAGCACTACCAATTACAGCTTTTCTATCGGTGTAGCTTGTGGGGTACTGCTGTTAATTTGTGTGCAGTGGTCTCACCTTCTCTGCAGTTCCTCCATTGTGTTTATTCCTGCCAATCTAATGCTGTGTAATCAGGCAGGATTAATTACACTATCTAATTAGACGGCATTGGCACTGATGTTAGAATATGCTTAATCTTTTCTTGCCTGTTTTAATTCCCAAGCTTTTTCTGTTCACGATCTGGACTGGACCGTTATTAAAAGAAAGAAAAAAAATCTCTAGTCTTTGAATTGGGTTTCTCAGAAATGGAAACCATATAGTTTTAACTGGTAAATTATTAAAAAAAAAAAAATTTACTAGATTGTTGCTTACCCAAACTTTCAGAATTTTGTACTTTATATATATCTGGTGTAAAACACAAAAATAAATAACAAAAGAAAAGAAAAAAACCAACCCAGATATTTTACATAACTATAACACTTCCTATTTTGATTTTGAAATACAGAGAAATTCAAGTGTATACTTTCCACAAATGGTATAATTTGGCCTCCTTGATCTTTGTTACGTGTTCGCTAGCTTAGCATTGATATTGTATCTCAACGCTCAATTGAAAAGCTTGGCTCAAACTGAGTTTAACATGGACGTATGTGCTGAATGTCCCTGCTGTTCTGGATGTGGGGGGTCATTCAGCAAAGAAATACATCTTAACTAACTTTCTTAAAATTCATTTTAGCTTCCATGAAATCCATTGGCTCTTCCAGGCCACTAGTCCAGAGTCGGGGGTCAGATTGGGCCAGTTTGTGGTCAGCAAGCCAACCCTTTTTCCTGGTGGCTGCCATCTTGTGCTCCAGAATGCAAGCATTTATACTGAAAAAAATAATTGTCTTCTGGTTGTGAAGATAACATTTTTGGTCGCGTACCAGAAGTAATCCATTCCATGATGTCTGCCTGAGTCTGCAGACAGCCTTAAACGGTAGCTCTGAGAGAAGTATGAACCACCCCAGTAATCTCAATGGGATGTTGACTCTGAAGCCTGATGATAATTTAAATGTGAAAACTGCTGAATATTTCACTACTGAGCACACAAGAGAGAAGAGGAAAGATCATATTATGGAGATATGCACAATCTTACTGTGAGTGGGTCTCATTTTGGTGTATCAATTGGGTGGAGATTGGGTTGTGGGCTAAGCATGGGAGAATCTCACCACTTACATATTTTCACTGGTCTGACCCTAGCCCCAAATGCATCTCTGTAAGAGAAGAAAAAGGGATATTTTGAGTAACTTATAGAGGCTCAGAAATTTATTAAATTCCAGTTGTTTCCCAATTGGCATTTTGAATTACAAAGTGTTTGCATGTTTTTCAAAATTATTAACAAAAACCAAACACACACACACACACACAAAAAATTTTAGGTCTGTCCCTCAGAGACATGGTCACAACTTGCAAGTGCTAACAGAGCCTCTCTATATTTTTTTTAGTTTCCGATGTGGCCCCAGGTCTCCTGCATCTGTGTGCAGCTTTAAACCTTTTAGGAGAGAGCGTTTGGTGAATGCGTTTGGTTTTGTTGTCACCTGTGTGGTTATGTGCATCCATGTCTATGTCCACATGTGAATAATCTAGAGACAGAAAGCTAAGTCCGGGAAATGAGCACTGCATTTTTCCCTCCCATGACAAGCTCAAACCAAAGCCTCTGTGGTCAGCAATCGTCCAGTCCCTGGGAGATCCCTGATGCCCCATTCCTTGCCCACCCCCCTTTTTTTTTCCTCCCCACCCCATTCTCAGCCTCCTTCCAGTCAGGCTCTGTGTTCGGTGTGGTACCAGTGCAAATATTGGGTGATCCATTTTGCTAAGCAGATGAACTCCTGCAGTTTGTTCTAGGTGTGGACTTTTTCAGAGTGCTTGACTTCAGTCCTAGACAAAGGAGGGATCTCAAGCCCATTCGGTATACTAGGAGTTTTGCCATTGATTCAGGGAGCTCTGCATCAAGCCAGGCATTGAATTGCGGTAATCAAGGCTGGAAGTCATCAGTGCACATCTATCGGCTGCCTAATTATCCTCTGTGAGGTCCTAAAGTGTGAGATATTTCTAGTGGCCTGGAAGAGCCAGTAGATTTCACAGAGATGCAGGTAAATTTTAAGGTTAGTTGAAATCAGTTTTTGTTCCGAATGATCTGTGCTACCTAGACTGAGGGAATGCCCCTTGTACGTGTATACTTAATGCTGCTTTGAGTTAAGCTTTGCAGTTCAGTAGAAATATGTATGTAAGACTCGGGTGACACAATCGATCACCTGTGAGTTTCTCCTCTTTTTTTAACTTTCATGTATTTAAATTCTCAATGATAACAAACAAACCTGTTTAAGTGAGTTCTCTGGGAGGAGAGATTTAAGAAGGAAAAGGGACAGAGGTAAGAGGAGGGATGATGTATTATAGTAAATACCTCAGGCCGCTTTCTCTTCTTCTTACCTACAAGAGTGTAATTCCGTCAGAATTGATGGAATTGCTTCTTTGTAGGTAAGGGAAGAATGAGTCCCTCTACACACATCATAATTTCAAATTGCCTGGTGCACTCCTTTCTGTGTCATGTCAGTGAGTCACCAGTGCTTGGCTTTTTCGTCTGGAAGCTCAGCTTTTCTACACCACAATTTGTGTTATACAAGCCAAAAGAAACCTGAGATGTTTTTCACCCTTCCTTAAGCCCTGTGAGGATGATAAAGATGGCAACCAGATCCCATAGAGCCTCCCATGTTGACGTCCAAATTTAGTCCTCACTGCAGAGCTGAAGAACTGGCGTCATCCCAGGTGTTTGAGATGATGCTTTGCTTTTATGGCACAAAGTTTACTGCTTTTCACCTGTTGCTATCCAACCCACCTAGCTCTGAGCCTGGCTTTTCCTGATGGAAACCTCCCAGTGGCAGTTGGAGTTTTGTTGTTCAGATTCAGTATTTCACAGTAGCTGTGGTGGAAGGGTCTGCCCGGGTTTGGCTTAGCCCACCCAGCCTTGGGCGATGGGGATGTTTGCTGGTGACGTTCAGAGATGCCGTCAGCTAACAGCCAGCCGTAGTTAATTGTGCACTGTGCTTCCCGAGCGGTTCTGATGGCACTGTGAAGCTTCAGCCCAGCACGAATGGCGATGGTGAGTGGTGCCTCTTGTTTTTTCTCCTTCCCCAGGACGACAAGGAGATCGACCTGGAGCACCTCCACAGGCGCGTGAACAGCCTCTGCACGGACGATGACAGTCCCCATAAACAGTTCTCCACCTCGTCCATTGACTTGACCCCTCTGGACATTGACACTTTGCCCACACGTCAGGCGCTGGAGCAAATCAGTGACTTCAGAAACACTCACATCACCACAACCACCTTCATACCAGAACAGATCCAGACTCTGAGCCGCACGCTCTCCGCTAAAGCCGCTTCAGGTTTCTCCTTCGGCAGCGTGCCTGAGCACCGAACTGGCCCTTTCAGGCACAGGGCACCCAACGGTGGCTTTTTCAGAAGCCCCATCAAAACAATGTCATCCATCCCTTACCAACCAACTCCTACTCTGGGGCTGAATATCGGGAGCGACCCAGACCGAGGCACCTCCATCTGAGCATCAGACCAAGTTTCTTCACGGTTTCTTTTTTAGGACTCCCTTTGCAAGGAGCAGCTGTAATATTGTGGGACTAACATGGATGTAACCTTTTTTCTTTTCCTTATTTTTTTTTGTTTTGGGTTGTTTTTTTTTTAATTTGTTTGGGGGTTATTTTCTGTTTGTTTGGGTTTTTTTTTTCCTTTTTAAAAATTTTATTTAAGAATCAGGTTTATTAGTAACAACTCTTCCTCCTCTTCTCTGCTTTCTCAATCTAGTCTCCTCTGTCTCCTCTTATTCTCCTTATTACTTGAATCACTTATTCTTTGGTTTATCTCCACATTAGGTTTTGGTTACTTCAGGCTTTTCATACACTTTAAATATAGGAAGCGTGCAGCGATTCATGCATAGAAAAACCCTGAGGATTACTTTACAGAAGGGCATTCGCTCCTCCTCCCCCACTGCCTTTTTTTACTATAATTGCAATAACTTAAGACCTTTTCATGTATTCTGCTGCATCCAGTCAGCGCTCCACTGCTGTGTGTCCTTTTAACTGTGGACCAAAGGCAAGCCCTGCAGTTTAAAAAATTGAAAAATTAAAAAAAAAAGGCAAAAATTTAAAAAAAAAAAAAAAGGCAAAGCAAATGAAGTTAAAAGACCATTTGGGCCCCATAATACGAGAATGCAATTTTGTAGGATTACAAAAAGCCATTACTATGCCAGTAAAGACTACAGTTAAATCTACTTTTGCACTGCAACAGTGCATATGATCTTTATGTGATTGTACAGTGTTAAAAGTTTTTCTTATGTACAGTAAACTGTATGATATGGCAGAAGCCTCTGTTGTGTTAAATAAATTAGTATCTCATACATATATATATACATATATACACACAGGTATGTGTATATATATATACGTGTATATATAGCTATAAAATGGCAGCCGTTGCTATTGCAATTCATTTAATAAAGCTTTAGTAAAAATGTGTTGTATGCAGGAAAGCTGTACAGTGCAGGGGGTCTTTTCATTTCGAAAAGACGGGTTGCTTTAATGTTATTCTGACTTGCACCGTTTACCAACAGAGCATATTTTATACTTTTTTATTAGAACGTCTGGGGCAATTTCAGATTTGTACCTAGATGGAACTCCTTTGGTTAGGTTTTGCATTGGCTATTGAGCATTCTATAAGGCTAACCTTGATAATTTTACTTTTAATTAATTAGACAAGTGGAACTCTCTCTTAGGTATACCACATTCATGAACAACTAATACAGTTTAAACATAGATCAAAGGTGAATACATACTTTTCCAAATCAGGGCAGTTGATCAATACAATAATGGTGTTAGGGAAGGAAAATAAAGTCCTCGAGAAATACAGATGTGGCCTTAATTGTAATCACATATTGTTCTAAGAAGAAAAAAAAAAAAAAAAGAACAGGCACTCATTTTAACCCTTTACATGTTAAGTTAGGTTTAGAGGAGCTATGTATTTTTTACATTAGTGCCAGCTGCATAGAACAAGAGAAAGAACAGCAGTGAGAGCAAAACCAGTGCCCACATTGGCACCAGCTTTTTTCAAGTAACACTGTTACCTGTTAGAAATGTAGGAAGAGCTTTCAATTTGTAATCCTTAAAACTAAAAATGCGGTTAAGTAGAAAGCAAGCAGTTTACGCTGTGAGTTTCTTGGTTTGGTTTTGTTTTTAACGCAACCGTACACTTATTTTAACCTAACTCATTCTTTGGCTAGGATTAATAGGAATCAGCCTATGTGATTTGCTTTAGGATAAATTAAAAGGTATATTCTTCAGATCTATTCTATTTTGATGCTAATTCTGTTCTGGGGGAGCATCTTGTACTGTCACTGTTTTTTGTACTAAATCTTCAGATATTGTCTACTGTGTAAGGCAGAACGAATTCTTATCGTGCAAAAGGCCATTTTGTTTCCAGGGTAGCAAGTGTCTAAAAGCATGCACAACTTGCTTCCTCCTTGTAACATTCATTAACTCATCCACACTTCTGAGTAAAATTTAAAAAAAAAAAAAAAAAAAGCTAATTTCTTTCCAACAAGCTACGTAGGGACATACCAGATGTTGCAGTGATCTTAGCTATTAAAAAAAAAAAAAAACCTGTTAACCATGTACGATATTTAAAATAGGCCTATTTTGATGTGTTGCCTATTATACAGATACACAAAAACACTTTTTGGAGGCCTCAGTTACAAGTGGCAGAGCTTTCTGTGTATAATTTGTCTAAATAATTTGTCTAATAAAATTGTTTTCTAAACTTGCGTTTCCTCCTGTTTAATGACCGAGTGCTGGGGGATTTCGGGTCTGTGGCAAGGCATCCACTCGTGGATGTTTTTCCTGCACCGTTACTGAAGGGGATTTATCCCGTGGAGATGGGGTGAGCTCACCAGGCACCTGCGAGTCAGCTCAATGTAGAGCATCCATGGAAATCACCAAGATTTACTGTTTATCAATGTCAGGCTTAGATTTCAGAAAACACGTATGGACAGCGTTTTGGAGAACGATTTTAGAGGTCATTGGCACTGACAGGTAGAGGACGTGATTTGTAGAAATACTGCACCCCACCTCCATCCTTTTTAGTGTAATCTAGGGATTTTTTTTTTAACATTGCCATTATTTATATATTTACATTTATATGTGTTCTGTTATCTTTATTTGCACAGAAGTTAGTTTGCTCTTTTACTGGAGACACACTGCCTCAAGATTTGACAAAAGTTTTAGTGTGAGAGAATGTAGCCTGTATTTCACGATGGCCGTCTCAATCCTTAAATTTCATTAGCTTAATGTTAAACTTAATGGCCTAGTCACCAGTAAGCTGTGCAAAATGCACTGCAACAACAGTCAGCCAGGACGATTTAACTTGCAGCATCCAAAGTCTGTCTGCTGGCTTTTTACATCCAGTATGCTTCATTCACTGACTAATATTTTTTGACCTCTTACAATTGTCTATAAAAAAAAAAATCTGAATTCGAGTAACATAAAAATCTAAAGGAAGTTAGATTATTGAAAGTGACTCGAGGCTAAATGTTAAGGTACCTGCACACTAATGCCAATGGGCTCATATGTCAGTGGGCACCAAATGCCAGGCAACAGGATGCTAGAAGCTTTTGCAAACCTGTGTACTCTCTATAATGGGCTACAATGAGGCAGACCCGATGTGACGCTTCTCCCTTTGTTTAAATAAAAAGCCAGTGAAGGAGTAGTGTTAAAGACTGCCAAGTGTTTCTGCTGCAGGAGCTCCGCTGGAAGCACAAGCCAGCTGCACATAAAGATGAGTTGTTTGCATGGTGATTCCAGTCATACAACCGCTTTGGCATAACAGCTACAAACAAAGAGCAGTGGAAGAAAATATATTTATCTGATTTCAAAGACTTACTTAGTATGATTGACCAACGGTGAAATACCTGGGAGATAAAAACCAGTCCTGCTGCACCGGTCAAGTGAGTGATTGTTGCTGTCACTGACCAGAGACAAAGTTTCCTGGGTTTCCCTCCTGCCTTCACAAAACAAAGCACTGGGATCGTTTCCCTAAATAGATCAGATTTTTTGGAAGAATTTTTTTCTCTTTCTTCCACACTCCTGTAGGATGCTACGAAGTGATGAGAGCGTAAAGCTGCCATTCTGTGCTTGAACACTCACCATAGCTGGGTCAATACAGCATGCTGGAGGTTAATACCCCAGATAAGTTTAATTTCTCACATCTGCAGGAAGGTGATGACATGAAAAGTGAACCAGCTTTCCATGTGCACACTTGCAGGTGTAGCTAGTCAAAAAGTAGTCTGTCCAAAACAAGCACATCATACCAACAGAGCCTTGCTTTACCTGATTTTCTCTCAGAGCAGCTATCTGTGGTTCCTCTTCCCTCTCCAGAGCTGTTGTGAAACAAATGTCAAAATCAAGTATCTGCTCCTGAGAATGAGTCATAAACAAAGTTTTTGATAAACATTGGGACGTGCATACACGCATCCACGTGTCACATCAAAACCAGTGGGCAACTGCGAATGCATCATCACAGCCTATGAGCCTGTCGTGTCTCACACGAGGCGTCGTTCAGGAGGTCAGACAAAGGAAGGTCAGCGCAGGCAAAAGGAGTCACTGCCTAATGAAGTTCTCATCAAAAAACTGTACCAACGCCCCAGAATTACAGGAGCCATGAAGTTTGTGAAAAAAACAAAAATACCTTTCAAGAGGTATCGTTATAAAAAGAAATTTACTAGCTGTCAAGACTTATAAAATCTGCCCCCACCCCATTCATCAAGGTGGCATGACACGTTGCATCTGCTACAGAATTTATTCCTATAACTTTCTTCAGAAGGAAGGAAAATATTATAGCAGGAAAACTGAACTGTCAAGTCATCAGCGACTGTGCTCCAGGTCACACACGGAACCTGAGGCAGAAGCAAGAATTCAGCATCTCAGAACTGGTTCATTGCTGTAAGGGGAAAAAAAAAACCTTTCCTCCCTGAATGCTCAGAGAAGGACTGCTAGCTGAGGATGCTGGGGTGAGAGGGGGGGACACAGGGAGCTGAGGAGAGGGTTGCACCTCCTGGGTGGGCTGGCAGTGGGAAGAGGCAATGGTTGCCCCAGTCACAGGCCAGAGACACAATTTCACAACTGCTCCTTCTGCCCCAGCAGTCACTTCAGAGCAGTTTTGGCCCCTTAAAAACAGCAGGAGCTGTTACAGACATACCTGAGGCTCATCAGCAGGCTACAGAGGTGACACATTTCTCCCCAGCTCCCACCAGAACTGGGAGCATCCCACAACAGGGAGCTTTCCCCAGAGGTGCTGGTCACAGTGCCCAAAGCAAGGCAAACGTGAACAGGCACAATGACCATAGGAGCCCTGGTACAAACGCCTGGAATCACTAACTGCCACACCAGGGGAAAAAGAAAGCTACCTGCAGCCCAGCAAGCACAGGACACCCCTCCACCATGACATAGCAGCTCAGTGCTCCTGTAGCTAATTATTCCTACCAGCACTAGTAAGGCCAACCTTGCTTTCAATGCAGGATAATTTTTTTCCCCTATTAAAAAAAAAAACAAATTGCTTGTGTCCCATTCCTTGTTCCAAGGAGGTGATACACCAACACAACATGAGACAAGAGCGAGTCCAGAGGAGGGCCACAAGGATGCTCAGAGGGCTGGAGTACCTCCCGTGCGAGGACAGGCTGAGAGAGTTGGGGTTGTTCAGCCTGGAGAAGAGAAGGCTCCGGGGAGACCTTCCAGCACCTTCCAGTGCTGAAAGGGGGCTACAGGAGAGATGGGGAGGCACTCTTGATCAGGGAGTGTAGCGATAGATGAGAGGTAACAGTTATAAGCTGAAAAAGGGCAAATTTAGACTAGATATTAGGAAGCCTTTTTTTACTAGGAGAGTGATGAGGCACTGGCCCAGGTTGCCCAGAGAAGCTGTGGATGCCCCATCCCTGGAGGGGTTCAAGGCCAGGCTGGATGAGGCTTTGAGCAACCTGGGCTGGTGGGAGGTGTCCCTGCCCATGGCAGGGGGTTGGAACTCGATGATCTTTGAGATCCCATCCAACCCAAACCATTCTGTGATTCTA